GGCCTCGGCAGCTGCCGGCGGCGGCGGTGCCGGGTGCGGGTGAAGGTGCGGTGTTCGCTGCCCGGCGCCTCGCACCTGAGGCTTCGCCCCGTGAAACTTCCTGAGTTCCGCTGCTCTCTTTTAACTGCTCTCGGCAGAAGTGCCGAGTTTGTATTGTGCTGGATCTGCGCGCTCACAGAGCTGCCGAGGGCTCTGGAGCAGACATCTGCTTCCCGAACGCCTCTCCTTTCGTGTCAGACCAAAATCAGGCGATGTGCAGTAGCTGGTGTGTTTCAGGGTTTCGAACAGGCGTGTCACCAACTTCAAACTTGTGGTATTGCCATAACGAATGAGTCTGTACTTCTCAGGCACGGGCTACATTAAGATCTTAAAGCTTTTGCCGTTTTTTTCCCCTCCGTTCCCATCTTAAGGAAGGGCTGTCAAGCTGGAAAAGTTGCTGTATTCCGTCATGACGAGATTTTCTCTCTCTCTCTCTTGATCCTTAGCTCATAAAACTTCATAACCAAATTCTATAGCAATTGAGCAAGTCTTTTTGCAGTACATCAGCTAGCCTTGTTTGCATTTCTTTATTGCCTACAAATGTTAAAAGTCATCCTGTCTTGACTTGCATGTATTGCAACATCTTTCTGTGCTATCTTAATCCTGTAAGTTTTAATACTAAAAGAAAAAAAAAAAAGTTCTATTTGTGTTCCTCCCTTTATTTTTAAGTCAGTATGTGTGGCTGCAAAGTTACTAGGAGACTTGTAGTTGCATGTAGTAAACGTTCTTGCTTGCTTTCCAGTAAGGAATTATGTGACCCAGCTCTCACTGAAATCACTATTTGGAACCTTTCCATTATTTTTATAATAATTGTTGACCTCAAAGTATGTGGCTGTAAAAGAAAACAACGTTGGCTTTTTTTTTTTTTTTAACAAAAAAACTTTGAACACTAGTGATTTTCAGACAGCATGGAAGACTCCATATTTTTAAGGGAATTTTCTTCTCTCTTTTTTTTTTTTTTTTTTTTCTAGAAGTTAGTCTGTATCTGCAAAGCTAAATCCTGGTACTGGCCTGAATTTAAGTTCATAATTAAAACAAAGTAGCTATGTAACTTCTACAGGAACAGGTGTTAAATTTTGAGTTTATGCCTATGGAGATGGGTATTTCGCCTCTTGTGAAATAGCCAGAAATACCTGTATCCAGCATCCTCCAGACATAGGCCTGTGTCTTCCCCCTCGTTCAAGAAGGATCAGCACACGCACACCAGGCAGACTGGAATGTCTGCAGATTCCCTCAAGCTGTTGGAGGGGAAAGAAAAGTAGTGATGAACAGTGAGCTCAGAGATACCTGCAGTTAAATGTGAGGTAGAAAACTGAGTAAACTGTTTCCACATGATTAGCAAAAGGTGTTTAGTAAAATAAGCCTTGTTATATGGTTTCTGCTGAGTGTCACATGTGTTGTGTGGTTCCTACACCTTTGCCGTTGCTTAGCATTTTTATTTCTCACCTGTTCTTTACATGAGTATTAGAGATTAAGTAAATTTAGTCCAGCTAAAACTATTTGGATTGACTAGCCTGACAACAAAGGAGTGTTATTAGTTCTTGAATGCTCAAGTTGCAGTTTCATAGTCTATTTTGACCTGCTGGATACCAAAATAAAGCATATTTAGAAGTCCAGTATGAAAGACCTATTCTAGGAATCAAAGCAGTAGTCTTGTGTCAGGGTGCCTGACAGAGGGCATAACTATAATACCAAGTGACTGAACATAACTTCATAAAAACTGAAAAAGGTTTCTTCTACATGCTGTGTTTTAGAAGAATTACATTTGATAGTCTTCCAGCATACAAGTATGTGGAAATACCAGTTGCCCCTGGAAAAGCACTGGTGAGTGATCAATCCTGGAAGTACACCTACCAAAGCTGAGCTAGGAGAATGTCTGTATGGTCCCAGCCTTGTCCACAGCATTGTGTTGGGACAGATGGTTGTGTCATGTAGGAGACGCGCATATCAAAGCATAGCTGGCGTATTCCTGTGGGAATAATGGTTTTCCCTCTATTTCCCCTTTCTCAAAGTATATGGACTAGAGACTTTTTTGTATTTAGCTAATTTGTATATTATTGTAAGACCTGTGACAAAATCTGCTCATTTGGTCTATGATGACAGAATATTTTTTTTTTTTTTTTCCCTTTGGGAAAAGAGGTGACTAAACCTTTGTGGAGCCCCCTAATGATTCCTTTATTAGTAATCTCGTTAATAAACTTCATCATGAAGATTATTTTAACAAAGATTTAAAATATATGATTAGAATGGGAATGATTTATTTTCTAAGCAAGTATTTAATTTGTGGGGCATCTCAAAAGCTAGTGATGCAAGAGTAAAGTGGGAGGCAAGCTACCACTTGTTTAATAGATTGCAATTATAATAATTAATGTGATTCTTGGCATTATGATGTTTATTTTTAAGCATTTCTGTTACGCCCAGAGAGAACTTTTTAAGTCAATTAAAGCGTTTCAAATTCTTGTACTTGGAATCTAGAGGGTCTGTGAGTGGCAACTAAGGAAAACAAATGGATTGCCAACTAGTCTGGATTTTCTATCAGGGTCCACACCAGGAAACTTTTAAGGTTCTGAAAATTCACCGAGGTTGAAAACTAGTAGCTTATGAATTGAGCTTTGATGAGGTGCTACATGTTTATACCTGGTATTTACATGTTAATAAATACCAACTTAGCTTTGTACTGAAGTCTGGAAGATGACTGTGAAAACCAGAGCAAGTTTGATAAGTCTGGATCTGCCTCTCTGTAAGCATTCTCTCTAACCAATCTTGCAGCTTGTTCAGCTAACACAATTTCAAAACTAAACCATAATGCCTGATATATGATGATAAGACTTGCTCTTGCAAGCTATATTCTCTCTTAAACAGTCTAAACAAATACAACAGAGCAGATTCTGATGAAAGAAAGCATTTATTTTATGTCTTGTATATGTCTTGTCTATATTTCAAATTGTCTTCCTCGGGAAAGTGCTTAAGAGTCAAGTGTGCCTCAGAGGAGTTTGTGGAAGATGTTAATAACCTTGTTGGAAGATGCTGAGCACCTTACTTGGTCTGCCTTTTTATTCAGTCTGTTTCTTACTTAGCGGCTTCTGAATTTTATCACCCGCACAGGCATAATCTTGTAGTAGTTCCTGCTCAGAGTGTACTTAACATGTACATATAAGCAGAGATTTGTAAAAGCACAACAGATCTTAATAAGAAAATGATTACTGTGTAATGAATTTCAGTAAAGATTCATTAATGTACAAACCCGTGGTTGAGTCGCTGGGGTACTTGGAGATTCTTTTTAAAAAAGCATTTGCTGATACTAGGCCGACTCACCACTTAGTGCCTTCTGAGCTCAGAAGCACTACTGCTTTGTTTATATATTGTTTCCTTTTTGACTGACTTCCTTGAATTACTCTTACATACAAAATTAACCAGAAATGATGCCAGCTGATGACTTTCTTAAATTACAGAAGTACATTTCCTGTTCTGCTGCATACATACATACTTTTGAAAGGAAGGGTATATAAGGTGTTTATCTCAATTTAAATATCATTTTAAGTAGGACAGAATAGTTTAATTTTCTCTTATCATCTTTTGTGTCTTCTTTTTGGTAAATGTGCCTTTTTGCCTGCTTTTGCTTGCAGAAAATAGGGACCCAGGACCTAAAACCTAATAAGAATTTCTCTGAAACTCAGAGTGGTTCAGATTTAGATTTGAATGGGCAAGGCTTTTGCTTTATTAATTCATCAGATGTCATAAAGTAACAATGTCTGTGCTTTAGGTGTTTAAACTTTTGTTTTATTTCTTTTTACTGCAGGATATTTCTTCTGGTGGGAGCTCCAAAAGCAAACACTACCCAGCACAACATTGTGGAAGGAGGCCAGGTGCTCAAATGTAACTGGAATTCAAACAGAAACTGCCAGCCAGTTATATTTGACTCCACAGGTAACATGTAGTTCACTGTGAGGGGAGATGGGGGAGGTCTCTGCTCTAATCCTCACGTGAGAAAGCAGAAGGGGATTCAGGTTCACATGGGGTTTCCTGATGGTCGATGTGAATGCAGCCAGTTTTGGACTGGCAACTAGTCGAGGCTTGTTTTTTCTTTTTTCTTTTTTTTTTTTTTTTCTTCTTTCTCTCTTCTTCTAGGTTTCCGTTGTCCTTGATATTTGCTGAAAGCCTGAGTGACCATACATTGTTCTTTTTTTTTTTTTTTAACCTATTTACATTTCTCCTCTGTAATTTCCAGCAATCCTAAAGCATTTGGTAACTTAATTAAACTGCAGGGGGGTTATTAAGGACCCCAAGGCCCTATTAAGAACATGGCATCTGAGGAAAGATACTTTTTAATATGAGCAAAGGTGGTATAGGCTGAAATATTCAGAAGTTTAATCTGAAACTGGGAGTATAAACATCAGACTGTGGAAAAAAATATTTTTTTTTTTACCTTGGAGGTAGCTTCATAGTATTTGTGACATGATTGTAGCACTCAGAGTGCCTCAGGTCAGAGGCATTACTTAACCATTTCTGAAGTATACGAAAGCTGAGCAGCAACAATGCTGACATTGAACACTTTGCTTGCTCTTCATGCTCTGGTACTCATAGTGATTTCCACAAGCTATGGCAGGTCATATGAGAACGCACTGCATGTGCTTTTCTGTTTGAGCGAGTTAGTGTTGAATCCTGTTTTCCACAGCATGTTTCAGGCCAGTGGAAAAACCTTTCCATGTCATAGGAGCGGATTAGCAAGACCCATGTGGTAGGGCAGAGGAAACACCTGTGCTTTTAAGATCTACTTGGTTATAATTCATTTTTGCCTCTGTTGGTATTTTGACTTGGCAGTCTAAAGGCTATTAGATTTATACGGCCTTTGTAAATCATGTACGATACAGTGGAGAAGATCTTCTTCCAATTCCATTCTCAAGGTATACCACAAAATATTGGTGTTCTACATGTATTTTTCTCAAAACTATTATGTTACCAGTTGTCTTGCAAAAAATCCTAAAAGTAGTACATAATAGTGCACACAAAACCCAAGCCATTATCAGTCTCTTTACTTCACTCTGTCCGAATGTTTCTGCCAGGTTACTTAAGATCTCTAATAATCTACAAAGTGTGACATTTTATCTGCACCAGTGTAAGACAGCAAAAATTGATTTTTTTAATTTTTTTTTCTTCTACTTTGGACTTATTGTTTACTAGAATACAAATGTGTGGGTTTTTTAAAAAAAGAATCTGGATGTCCCTAATGAATAATCACCATTAATACAACAACCAAAAAACTTACAGTAGCGAGAGAATGGCTACTGGGGTAGTTTTAGATGCATCTTCCAATGGGAATTGCAGTGCTTTTATCTATTCACATTATCTATATTCACATTTATACTGTGAACATTTGCACTAGGCTTTTCTGTATGCCACACAGATAGGTAGATATAGATGCCACACTCCTTTGTTAATCGCTTGAAATTTAACAGTAAAAATAGCAGGTCTTAGTGGTTTAAGAGGACTTGTTTCAGGCACATTTTAACTCATTCCAGCTTTGTGGCAATGAGTTGGGAAATAACGCATTTGTCAATTATTCTCTGGGTGAAAAGAAGCATTGTATTTCAGCATAATAAAATAATAAATTGGCGGAGACAAAATAAAATGACTTTTTCTTTGTGCATAATACAATGGTTGATTCCCTGCGTTATGATGACAGTGTCTTACTGCCAACACAGTGTAAGCTCCCACTCTGGCCAGCCCCTACCTCATAAGGTAACAGGGGTTAGGGATGACTTGTGATTCACTTTGCAGGAAATAGGAAACAGATGACTCGGCCACTGACTTGTGGTGCTAATGTGAAGGTGCTTTTTGTAGATGATGGTGTGACCTCTGCAAGAATTCAGGTTCATCTGTCACTGTTTCAACAATTGTGTAATATGATTTGCTGAGCACTGCAAATACAAGGCGAATTTTTATCTCTCCCCCCTGTTATTGAGCTGTTTTGTTAATGGAAAAAGCAGCAGAGGTTCTGCATAATTCATTAGATGGGTTTCTTCAGAGTTCTTTTCTAATTGTTTACAGCTAGTGAGAAATCTGATCTGTGAAAATAGCAAGAACATTAGTATTTGTGGCTTCTCTCTCTTTACCTGTCATTGCCAAACTCCATATGTGGAGTTGCAGAATTATAATGACTAGACATCATTCCCCTATTCATCCTCCTGCTGCTTCCTTGTGCCAGATAGCATAGCTGGCACATCCCGGATCAGGCCAAGCCACTGCATCTTGCACGCGGCATCTGAGAGCAAGGGCAAGGTCATGTCTGCGCTGTGAACGGAGAAAGGGACTGGAGGAAAGAGTTGAGTCTTGTTCTGACTGTGTGCAGTTGTGTTTGTCTGCTTGTCTTGTGTTTGTGTCACAAATAAACATGAGTAGGTTTTTTTCTCTCTATTATTTTTTCCTAAACATTGCTTGATTTTTCTAATAGTTTTCGTCCGTCTTTATGGGTCTTTTGCTTTTCCCCATCCATATAGAGGCCATTCTGAGCTGAGCTGTACAGCAGTGGCTGCGCAGAATTGAGTTTTATTTTTTAATACTTGCTGTTGGCTTTAATATCATATTAGCACAGAAGCATGAGACAAATACAAAGCTAATACGTAGCCCAAGAGAGAAGGTTCTACTAGCTGCTTTATGTTAATCGTGGGAGGAGTTGTTCAAGCCCCTGCCTTAAAGCAGTGTTGCTTATTACTTGCATTTACCCTAATCCCAGCTCCTCTGGAGCTCCTCTGGAGCTCCTCTGGAGGAAAGTGATAAGTCATTCAGCTGATAGTTCCTGGTTGCACCAAATTTACTACTTGTTTGTTCCTTCCTCTGTGTGACAGCTCGGCTCTTTCAGGCCGGGAACTGGGCAGTAGGAGTCCATTCATGGAACTCTCACAGCTCTCATGCTGAAAATACATGTATTTCCCTCTCCTTCATGGCCTTCCCACTAGCCTGTGATATAGAAAGCCCCTCATTAAAGTGTGTATTATGATTTTTAAACTGCTGGCCAAAAAAGGTGTTCTTTCACTGTTCCTACACAGTGTATTTCTCATCTAAAACAGCAATATATTTCCAGAGGGGAAGGGGGATCTCCCGTTGTCCTAAATCTCCTAGCACAATGGCTACATTTATGTAAAAATACACTAGAGAGTATTCTGTAGTTCTGTATATATGTCTTGTGTGCGTGTGTTTCTGTGCATATTATACTAATTGCTTTTGACATTCTGGTATACATGGTGGCTTTGGAAGGCAAAATGTTTATATCGCACATTAACACTTCCCAAATGTAAAGATGCTTCGCTGTGGGGCTTCTGAGCATTTTAGCATTGACATCAGTTGGCTTTGATTTAACATAGTTATGACTATGTGAAAATTGCATAACAAGCATGTGTGGTAGAAAATGCCCTCAAATTCAGGGGTTCATATAGCTGTGCTACATGTGCTTGTCTGTACGTGGCCAAAAAGGGTGGGGTTTTTTTGTTGTTTTTTTTAAGGCTTTTAAGTATCATTAGGCATACATTCCAGGATGGCTTTTGCTTTTAGAAGCACGTAAAGGTTAAAGTGAAAAAGGAACCATCCACCAGAGCAAGCTTCCTCACATGCACGCTTTCATTGATCCTGTTGCAGAAGTGAAATGTGAAGCAGTGCTTGTATCTGTTACTTTAACAGGTTATCTTGCAAATCCAGATAGAAATGGATCTGAAAAAGTGCTATGTAAGCGCTGAACTTCTGCCTTATTCCTGTGTACCTTATTAGTTCAGTAGATAAATATGCCACTGTCAGAAACCTGGTTTCTGGTACTTGTACTCTTGTGTATTTTGACTTCTTACTACAATTGCCACAGCATTACCACAATTTCAATTGAATTGTTATGTAAAATACTTGGGATTTTCTCATCTGTCTCAGGTAACTTTCAGAGTTTCAGAATGCATAGGAGGCTGTATTTTTTTCAGGACAAGCACCATAGGGAAATTTACATTCTCAAGATATTCTTCAAAGCTCCTGTAAGCATAAACAGTATTGGTAAATCGTTTCCTTTGCAAGATGCTTTACATTTCACATTCAGATTACCAAAATTCACAGATTATTGGTCAAGGTGGGTTAATATTTGTCTTCATTCTCATCTGTTCTCCACACCAGGTAGTTTTGTGACTGAAAACTTAGTTACTTTTTTGTTTTATTACATAGGGGAATGTTCTGAATCTTATAAAGAAGAAAGAATCTGTGAAGGCAAATGGTGGAAAACCTGCTCTTACAGCTTGCTGAGCCCTAGTACTACTTTTTTTACAAGACTGACTGGAGAGGCGATTCCTCTCTTAGAAAGCTTAACGACTTCATCTGCCAGCTGCTTAGCAGCTTTTTCCAGGAAAAACATATTTCTGTGGATAAACTGTAAAAGGAATGCTCTTAATATAGCAGTCCATCTTCTGTTCCTGATCAGTTTTGAGACAAAGGTCCGAAACCACTTGTTTTAAAGACACATCTATTCTCCTTCCCCTTTTCTCCTTCCACAGCCTTCATGGACTAGCAGAGCACAGCTTGCATAGATATTACCAAATATTAATGAACATATACCCATAATCTTGCTCAGAGAAAAGATTCTTGAAAATTTAAAGATGTTTCTGTGAGTTAAATTTACTTTATATAGTTGTCCATTTTTTGTGTATAAAACTAAACGTGTTTTTTCTGTGCAAGAGGACAATCAAAAGCTCATGGAAACAGACAACAAAACCAGTGAGCAGAGTGGTGGTCAAATGTGCTTTTTAGGAAAATCGGCAAGTCATTTTATGTTTTCATTTATGCATTTTACAGTTTGGCATACATGGAATATCGGGGTGGATACACTTAGCTAATTGTCTGGCCTCTCGATAAATACTGCCATTATTTGGCCATGGAGTTGAGAGAGCAGGATCACTCTGAAT